GGCTTGTGGCTGAGCCTATTCTGCGCCTGGGCATGCCTTCCTGCCCCATTCCTAGAGCCCGAAGGCATCCCCATCTTCAAGTGTGATTCAGTGCGAGAGCTGAACGTGGATTTGGAGTTGGAGGAATTCGGGATCGATTGAGAGCGTGAGTGAGAGTTGGCCTTGCTCAAGCCAAGACCATGCATATTAAGCAACTCTTGTTAGGAATTCTGAGAAAAAGAGTCGCGATTCGACGCGTAAAGGCACACCGTCGTGGTCGTGTTGAAGATGAGAGTGAATTCAGGGTTAGGGTTAGGCTAGTCATGACCCGTGGTCTCGTGACACGGCGACAGGCTCCGTCGCGCGTTTTCCCAATAACATGCCTACTCCCAGCTCGCTCTCAAGACGAGTGCTAAATCGGAGGTTGTTGGAAAACGAAAACAAAAAGAGCCACTGAAGTCGGACTCTGATGAGCGCCAAGCCGCTACGCAGCGTACTACAAGTCAACCTTACTATTTACAGTTGATCACGAATTTGTAGCATACTTTTCGAAAAACGCTCATTACTGATTTTGTTTACATCCAAACAAAACGACCCACTTTGGATGAGCCTAGAGCTCCAATGGCCAATGAGAGGCCATTGTTGTAATACATGGAGCGTAGAATCATGAAGAGCGTTTTTTCAAAAGTATGCTACAAATTCATGATCAGCTGTAAGCCTATGACTTCAACTGTACAGTGATTTCATTCTTATGGATTCCATGTCCCAGAATTTCGTACATAATACTAGACACTTGCAGGAAATCTTCACTGAGGAGTAGTAGTTATAAGTGACTTATACTAAGAGTGCCGAGCCAAGCTCAGCCGTGGTCTCACTGGTCTGACAAGACTAACTGGCAGCACAAAGCTAAGAGTGCCAAGCACACACTTTCTTTCCTGATCACGTCCTTGAGTAGCATTCAAGGTATACGTACCGTCCGTAGAAAATTTGGCTGTGTGCACAAGTCCGTGAACTGCAGGTTGATGAATTGCGTCGGTGTTCACATCCAAGCAAAAATTACGGTCAATGTTCAGCTGAAGTTAAAAAATTTCAGAATGTCCCTCACAAAAGATACGAATAGCGTTGACTATACAGCAAAGTCAGATCTCAGAAATTAGTTCAGACAAATTAATGACGGAGGTTGTGCACGGTAGACTTTGGCCTTTCGTCGGGTCGAGGGATCTAGGCCGAGGGGCCCATAAGTGCTAGGAAATATCCTCTAGGCCTGGGAGACCAATGTTTTCAGACTCGGCTGAGGGAAAAGGCAGTGCCTTTCGTATCAATGTCCACATTGGGTTCAGGCCTCGCATTTCCTCGAGGAGACCAGTCCAGAAAGCGCACAGAGCGTGGGTTCGATGGTACAAGCTTCTTCCTCGATCCGAAATTTTGTAAGCGGGAGCAAGCGGGAGCTAAATAACTGGAAGATAAACTGAGCAGGCTGGAGTTATCGCTGGAAGCGAGTCGGAAGGAGTGAGCATAGGTGGTACACTGAGCTTCTTAGACTCGAGCCAGTAGCTTCTGTATTGACACCTCTGCCAAGCAAGTGAGTCCGCTATGATAGCACGTCGAGTCTATGAGCTTCCCAGCACTATCTCCTTCAGTGGTAATGCAATTTGTCCAGCCCTCCATACTTTGCGAACGATTTCATACTAGATCGTATAGGGTTTGAGCGTAAGACGTGAAGTAGCGCGTGGGCCTGAAAAATTCGAGATGGATTCATGGAATCGAGGAAGAAGGCGTGCCGTATGATCCAGATTCGCCTTCTCAAACCGTATCGTTTCAGGAAACGCCCCTATACAGTCACTAAAGGTCTCTGACATGGTATCATCCTCTGAATCTGAATCTTCCAACCTCGGACCCGTTTGAAACGCTTCCGTCTTTCTCTGGCCTCTTAACTCCCTTTAATTCCTCATCCCGTCTTCTCAGCGGCAGCATAATACATACGCTAAAGCGGTGACGGTTACGAGACCAAAGCCACTGGAAGACTTGGCATGGTATTCAATGCTGCAAATCAATGAAGTTGCTAAATTGACGAGCTTTTCTTACGAGAATCTGACAACAGGGGCCTGCTGGGGAGATCACCTTTCACCCAATCCGATACCCGCATCATTCACTGACCTAGCCTTAATAGAATGAAAATCGATTTTATTAAGATTCACAACATCAATTCGAGCGAAATTTTCTACTTCAGCAGCTAGTCACGGCGTATCTTTGACTTGCGAGGCTCCTCCATTGTAACGTCGAGCTTGTAGGCCAAAAAGTTGGTCTTTTTTTAATGACTATTAGTTTGTCGTGTACACTAGGGGTCACGGCAAGTTGCTACAACGCGTTCTCCGTTCGCAAGGATGCCAGTGAGGGATTTCATCACGAAAACTTCGGTGAACTGTGAATTGCTGTGGATTACTCCATTGGGATCATGTCATCCCTACAGCAAAGTTCATTCACGAGGCGGTTTCCTCTTGGAAGAGTTGGTTAGATGGGAGGCCCGGGATGTTCTAGTCAACAATGATTCAGATGAAGAGGAGCAAGAATAAGTAAATTTATCAATACTACTCATGTAACATTACTATTATTCTCCTGTGATGCCCTGCGGTCTACCTTCCTCTTTGCACGTTGAGCTCGCCGCAGAGTGGTCGTTTGGGGCCGGCTGTTTCCTCGTGGGACCCCGCCTTAGGGCGGAGCTGAGTGTCTATCTATCTATCTGTGGGTTGCTGTACAGTGCTGTACAGAAGCTCAATATAATCCACAGCAGCCACAGAGTTATCCAATTCTATACAGAAGGTACCCTTCCTGTGCAAACACCCAGGTTCTCCTGATGCCTTCCCAAGACTAGAAGAGTCCCGGTGAATCAAGCGCGATTGGGAGAGAACATGGTAATAATGTATATGAACTTTCCATCGATCGCAGCTTTTATACCTGAAAATCCTGGATGACAAAGATTTGTAGAACCGCAGATTACGCGTTCAGCAGCAACTATATGTCGTCGCCTGTTTCGGATGGCTTCCGGGATCTAGTGGAGAAGTACTTAGTGAAAGGGATAATCCATTCATCGTTTAATTCCCGGATCTAGTACCAGTCTATCAGAGGTGAGTATCTTTAGAAGCTCCTGCCGAACCTCTTTCACTTTCGTTCCATATCGCAGCTTAGTTGTCAAGTACCATTGTGAATGTGAATGTGAATATAACCGTTGGTATGTCCAGCGCCTCTTTAAATGAAAACAGAGTACATCTAGATCCCAATCATCAACGAGCTGAAGAAGGCGTAGTAGCTATGGGAAGAAGGTAGATAAAGTCAGGAATACGTTCGCTCTGTCGCAAGATAAAAAACGGAAGACTCATGCACAAAACGGCTGCCATTTCCCTTTTTATAAGGCAAATTCTTTCTCGATATATTTCGAAGTTTAAGGGCCTACAGCAAGGAAATCACTAACTAATCAAGTGCCGACTCAGATCATGGTAATGGCTACTTTGTAAAAGCGCAGGTATGAGAGTGAAAGGCAGGCATGCTAATTGAAAGAACCAGAAACCACAATCAGCTTGATTAACCTAAGAGACGAAGCGGGAAGTGAGAAAACAGTAGACAAAGTATAAGAACTACTTCGTACCATACTAAAACTTTGCTCGCAGAATCACTGAGCTGCATGAAAGCCAATAGCCCGAAGGGACACGCCACCCCAACACACCAGACTGGAACACCTTTCTTTGTACACCACCCTAACCTACTCATTGTTGATCCTCTCTTTCCCAGCGACAACTTCATCTAGTGACATACCATCTAATCACCTCGAACCTGAATAGACATATCCATTCCCGGCGGAAAATGCGGAAAGCATGATCAAGGTGCTCACTACATGGGTCGAACGTCTGATTGCAGCGCAAAAACAAACGGAGACTAGTTTTCGCGAGCTCCGAAGAGGAATACGGGAGAGAATACCAATGGAAACGTTCCTAGAACGAAGAAGACTAAGAGGCGAAGAAAGGTCGAGTGGAAGGCCTGTGGTAAGGTGTGTCGTGGGTTAAGGACCTCTCCAACGGTGACGGAAATGTATTCTGGACCTTTGGATGAAATCAATCTTGGGCAAGAATTAAAACCCCGGCAAAATAAACTTACCACCAATCATGGCTGAGGCTTAGGAAACCAATGGGACAGCGAGCGGTGCGCGCGGAAGGAAGGAAGGTCTATTACACGGCATAGTCCAAGTGCTTCCAGGGCATTGCAAATTGTCCCGTACGAGTCGTAGGCAAAGGGAAGTATCAAGGGTTCGAGATGGGGCATGGAAGCGAAGAAAAAGGTGCGCGCAGCATGAACAGCTATGTACCTCGGTTAAACGCGCCTACAGGCCTCTGGCATGCATAATATTATGCAAGTATTATGTATCTTCTGAATCTATCTCGGACCCCGTTGAAACTCTTCTCAGCCGCAGCATAATCCATATGCTGACAGTGAGCGAAAACTTGACAAGTTATTCAATGCTGCAATGAAGGAAGAACAGCGTATGTGATTACATTTTCAAACGAACTTGTCTTGCCAGAGTCTGACAACATCCTGCCGAACGCTTCACCCAACTTGACTCCAAGGCTTTCCCAAAATCCAACCCTCGAACTCGATCCAATGTTGATATCATCTTCCGTCGACCTATTAGGGTACAAGACCAAAAGACGGGAGAAAGGAACATTTTGAAAGGAATGGGCAAGTAGAGTCGGCGATAGTTGGTCGACGAATACCAGGTCAAGTGGAGCTCTGTCAAGCGATGGCGGTATAAACCAATTATGACGGTGATAATCCTCTTCCATTTATAATTCTACGCCCTCCTCCCTCCAAGCCCTCGATATACGATGCACTGACATGGTGCTGCTTCCGTGTGCGCTGAGTATGATGATTTGGATCTTCATTGGAAGGTTTTCTTTCCTCCCGTTGACGTACTCATTCGTGCGTCTCCGGGGTATACAGTCTATTATGCTTTTCAGATGAATTGCAGTCATGGTTCGATGGCGTAGTTGGTTATCGCATCTGTCTAACATGTCGTAGTTTCACAGAAGGTCCCCGGTTCGAGCCCGGGTCGAATCATATTAAAGGTACGGTACTTTGCTTGATATATTTTTTCACTTCATCAACACCAGTGGTAAAACTCTACAACGTCTTCCCTGTTGTCATTGGGAGCCTTAACTTATGTGTCTGGGTTAAACTCGACACTGCTGCTGCACTTCGATGACAGTCAGCTAACTATCTATTGCTTCAATCATATATATAGTAAATACTAAACACTTAAATAGATAGTTATGCACCATACATATGTATATAGATAAGTATACATTGTACAATCCCCAGAGGCCCCAAATAAGTTAGTTCCGTTTCCATTGAAATACGTTAAATAAAAAGAATTCAGCAATGAAAAATGAATGGATTTAAAAGAAAGGAGGGTAGTGAGATTGTAGACACCACTTTGTTGAGGAGGGGCTCTGAAGGAACTTCTCAAGAAGTCGGTCCACCTCCACCACCAAGCTGTTCAGGAGTCAAAGCATCGTAAATGGGGCACAGGTTGTCCCAAGCCTCTGTTAAGTGTTAAATCTCCAATCAGTTCTGCCCTCGAAGAATATTTAAAAAGGGACTGACGAGGAGGCGGGACATGTCCAGGCGCAACAGCCTCTTCAGCACCTTCTGCAAATACAATGGCAAAGCCACTAGGTATAGAATTAATGTCAGGATAGAAGGGATCCAGAAATCAATAAACTCACGCTTCCAAATGAAAGTCGATGTGGCTGCGATAGTAGAGAACGAGCTCAATGAATTTGGAATCAACGGTGTTAGGTCAGTCACACTCACCAATGCAAGAACCCTTGAATTAAAGTCAGCATGAGTAGGATATGTACAGTCTCACATTTACTCACAGGGACCAGCATTATCCGTAAAGAACCGAATAGTAACATTATCTGTAGCGGAACCAGTAGAGACAACATCCCTACGGACAGGGGTGTCGTAGTTGTACTCCGTAGCTCCTGCAGGTCGGATAACGTCAAAGTTGTGCTATAATAGTCAAGAAGTCTCAGCGCCAAATCAATGGTTGATTAGCGATACGTACTCCGTGAAGATGGAATGGATGCTAAAACTCCCGTTAGAAGAATCGGTGCAAGGCATGAAGATCGCTACTAACCGGTCCTCCGATCGCAGCTACAGTACTAGTATTGAAGGTAAGTTGGATGGTCGAGTTGAGAGGTAGCGCGTAGACTGAGCCGGCGGGAAGGAGTTCAGCTATACATCATGGTTGAAGTAAGTTACATGACAATACTAGATGATAGACAGTGGTCAGGTTCGACATACCTGGTGTAAGCGCTCCACTTATGATCTGAAGCAAGACTGGAACAGAAGGTGGTACGAATTTCACTCCGTTAATCGTGAATGCTCCGGCGTTCTGCCAATAGTATGAGTTCAAGAGCTAGAAATGTTGAAGAAATGACCAACAAATCCTAACTGCAAGTTGAGGTTATGATCGGCGCCGTCTATATCGTGTGCTCCGGACTAAAAATACTAGTTAAGGCCAGTCCCAATATCGTATGTATGTAGCCAAAACTCACTGCGCCAGGGTTAACAAGAGGCTGCAACGAGTCGGTGTCAGTTCCAGTGTCGGAAAGTAAAAGCAGAAGCGACATGAATTGTGCTTACTACGAGACTAGTTTCGCTCAAACGATTGACCGGAGTGCCAGTGGTTGTAGGTTCGGCGTTAGGAGCACCATTGTATCTAAGAATGGCGCTGTTGATCCCATTGGTAAAGCCAGCGTTACCGGTACTAGGATTGGCCTTGATCCCTATAATAGCAGTAAGATACCGGTTCTTCATTGAAGAATGGAGAAAATAGTATTACGCACAATAGTTATCGACTGTCTGGTTGGCTTTAAGCTAGCATGGGAGTCAAGAACAGTGACAGCATGGGAACGCAGAAACATACTACAAAAGAGTATCGCTGCGCAGCAAAAATTTGGACAGAGTCGGCTGTAACAGGCAAGTGTTCAACACCGTCGACCTCGATGAACTGGGTAAAATTTTTAGCTTCATGGGGCTCTCCAAGAAAAGAAAATGCTCACAGAAAATGTGTGGCTGTCGATAGAGAATACAAAGTTGGGATCGCACGAGATTGATACCAGACGGAAGCGGTAGCTTGAGGTGAAAGTTAGTCTTGGCGCAATATAACAATCTACCGTTTGTAGCTCACCGAAGACCTTGAGTAACACTGATCACAGCCAAAGGTGAATCAGTTGGTCCTGTGAGGTATCTTCCTGTTTCAAACTTGTGAGATCCTTATTATTTTCGCCGTCAGCATGAGCTCTACCTAACCCGTTGATGAGTGTTGCATCCGATATCCTGCAACAAGTATTGGCAATGGGAAAGTGATTATGAATGTAGTCACTTACGCAGCACCCACGATAAAACCCGCAGGAGAATCTAATAAAATTTTAGAAGGAGAACTGAGACGAACAACCCAACACTAACGGTAACTGCAAAATTTTCAGTTAGACGTTTAACAACAGGGAAGAAATGATAAATGTAAGTTACTTGTCGGAAAGTGTGATGACAGTGGAGTCTGGGATGAAGATGAAATGTCAGAGAGTATGATCCACATATACAAGAGTGCGTACATACCATCGTCGACATCGTAGAGATCCAAATAGGGGTCGTCTATGAATGATTGATGTTATGTAAATAAAAAGGAGTACTTGAAAGAGGAATCGAGCGCACCCGGGTCGTAGATAATAAGGGGACCACGCAAGCCGTCACAGTATTGAGTAGCTGTCGAACAATTTCAAGCTCAAGGATGTGGCGACCGAATTGGAATGCTCATACCCAAATGAGAATGGTACCAGAATGTTCCAGCTTGTCCAGGAACATTAAAGTTGTACAGGAATGAATTGTTGGCGGCAATGGGGCACTGATTAACAAACGCCCTTGACATCCAGAGCTGTCGTCAGTGCAAGGCATAGCCAATTCTGGCAGATTACATACGGTCTATATTGACAACTGTAAGTGACTTGAATAGACGCGATAATAAAAGGATCCTACCCGTCGGCCCAGTTGGTTGTCGCTTGGAAGAGACCATGCCAATGCTGGTGCGCCCGTGAAGCGTAAGGAGCTAGTAAACCCAAATACAACAAGCACGTACAATTGAAGTACTCAAGAGCATAGTACCGTTAGTGAGCTCATCGATCACATTGATCTGAAAGTTGTCGCCCTACAATGATTTCGTGTTAGTATGCATTCCCGACGCGTGAAGGAGACTGACAATATTGCCCACGATGGTGGGACCAGGAATGGTACCTCCCGCAGTGACAAACGAGCGGTTAAAGCCATCTGGCTGCAGGAATGCGTTGACAATGGGCAAGTCCGTAATAGGACCAATCGAAGCCAACGCGCCACCGATTGGGGAGAGCAGAAGAAGAGCCGCAGAGAGCATTGAAGGAAGGAATGTGGAAAAACTGGATTAAAAACCCTGAAGAATTGCTCTTAGGCATTTAGATAAACGAGACGGCTTATATGCCTCTCGCAAAGGTACCAATGTACAAACGCGGATAGTAGTACTTATTGGATATTCGCCTTTTTTTGACTCTTGGCAGGCTAATTTGGTTAGACTCGGGAGAGGAATGTGTTCTTTTAATCTAAGCAATCAACGCATCATCGCAGAGGCAGCTGCCAGGAGTCATGTCGCAAAATTCGTGTGTAACCCGCCATCTCGAGCTCGACGTGAAACGAGAACATGTACCGTAGAATCGGCCTAGAGTCCCCTTGAGGTACGCTAATCTGTTTCATAAAGACAACAGTGCAGTAATCTGCAGCCGCGACGTCGTCGGGTGAGAAGATTCGTATTCTGACTTCTAGGAGTATTCGAGATGCGTTCAAGAGGGGCTGATTAATTTGCTAAGAGGACATCATTCAGGTCTCATCCCAACTGTGACCGTATTGAAGCAATTTTCATGAGTTTTAGTCGACATGCTGCAAAAGTATGAAGTAGACTCGTATCTTGAAGCGAACAAGAAGAAACAGGCGGGCGCTTATTTGGCGCTTATTCTTAAATAAATAGATTACACGGCGCGATCCTGTTCCGCACTCTTCTTTTTGAATGAAATTTCATCCGAGAAATTGTTTAAGCAGTGCTACCTTGCTCATGAGCCGAAGAGTAAGAGTATGGACACCGGTAAATCACGATGGTGTACAGCAATGTATCGTGCCTGAGCATGACTGAGTAAGTATCCCGACACTAGAAGCTCTAAAGGACAAGGGTCAAAATGGAGATGCGGGTACTACTTAGTAGCGGTGATACTAGTCTTATGGAGAGACTTGGCATTCGATGGATACCCTAAAGACAAATTGGGCGTACTAGTCGGAGTGGTCTGTTATTTTGAGTGGAAGTTTAAGCTCCTCTAAGCAGGCTGATACGAGAACAAAGAAACCTGATCTCCATACCTAGTCCGAGTCGATGTTGATATCCGGAAACCAATCTTCGATCCAACTTCGATCCTTAGTCTGCCTTATAGCTTAGCATCCTGGTGGCTTAACTTGCAAGTTAGACGATGTTCCTTGGTTCGTTATCCACGCGAAGTGGTTTCACTTACATACCTCCTTGGAAGAGAGACTCCGAACAGATGGCTTTATAATAATACAGAATGAACATACGTGCATGTATATACATACATAGTTTAGGATCATAACATATAGATTACTACTACATAAATGGACAATGAATAAGTAGAACACTTGAGGACCATGAGTACGTGGAATACAAAGATAGCAGAAAGATACAATTATTGAATGAGATGGAACTCCATACATAGTTTAGGATCTGCTACATGGCACATGGCATATTACTACCGAATAAATGGACAATGAATAAATAGAACACTTGAGGACCATGAGTATGAGATAGTAGAAAATACAATTATTAAATCAGATATGACTCAACAACCGGTGTGAGCAGTCGCCCTTTTCACTTTCAACGCTGAACGCAACGGAGGCTTTGGAATCAGACGATGCGCCATATCGATTCGCACACCCTCCTCATTCATCCACCCCTGACCATATTC